CACCGAATTTTGTTTTGAAGTTTTTAGCGGCCAAGTGGCTGAACCACTGCGCATTCGTGCAATCATACTTCTGTTCCGTTGCATTTGCCCAATTATTTTATTCAACAATCTAACTTAGCTATAAACAAACTATGTTTAGTTAAAATGGCTTAGTCTAAATCGATGTGGCATGGGTGATATTGGCCTTCCAATTTCTACCAAATTTGTGTACCGTTTAAGTACCGAAAAAGTGCTGTGAGAAGTTATAGCCGTTCGTAGCTCAGGCTTAACCATTTTCAGATAAGAGTACGTAAATGAAAGGAGGAAGGATAGTTCTTTGCAACTGTATGAGTCACGATTAAGTTATTTCAATGATAAGGCTAGAATTAATTACTGTAAATGTCCTTCAGTTCACCAACATGGCGGACGCTCGAGGCCTCGTCAAAACTGTCATTCCTGTATCTTTGAAACCAACGAGAATTCGAACCTTAGAATATGCATTCAGTATTTAGGACACCATTCTAAGACTACATGCCAAAAATCAGCCAAATCGATGAGGTACCGTGTCAGGCCGAAGTTCGAATTTTACAGAAAATCACTCTTAATAGGACAGTACGCGTCATGCCTAAGAAATTGCACAGAACGCGCCATCACGCGGGCGCTTAAATGGCTTTTTTTCACTGCTGACCAAAAAAAAGGTCTTGGAATTTCTTGTGTTTTGATTTGAAGAAAAAAGCCTCATATTGATATATCAAAAATTTTGTTAAAGCTATGATTAATTGGTAACAGAACTTCGTGTCGTCCAATTCGGTCTTTAATCATACTCGTGACTATTAATAAACAAATCGGACTTCCGCTACGCGGTCGTCCGATTTTTTGTGGCTTAAGACGGCGACAGCAATGAGAACGGCAAATATAGAAATAGGTTTGTATAAGCAAAACAGCAACTTTGAAGATGCATCACGCTTTTTTGCATATATCTAAGCCGTTGTTACACGAATGCGGCGTAAAACTTCCTAATTTCACGCGCCCGCTTTGTGGAGTTGGTGAACGCAGCGCAAAAATTTTCTTTTTCTTTTTCTAAAGTCAAATACGGTCCTTTCAGATTCAACCTCAGACAATTTCGCCGACATTTGACCTATTAAAAGAAACTGAATACGGTCGAGGAAGTTTGAAACAGTTCAAAGTCACTTTTTAAGTGACGTTTCATCCACAAATTTTGCCACCATGGCAACGTGACGTAACGACTTCAGTCATCCACTTTCTAACGTCATATTTCTCCTACTTGATAAATACGCTGGTTTTTTTTTACGCAGTCGAAACATTTCTAATAATCCTCAGTTTTCTGCAAAAATGTTTTTCTTTAGGTTATGAACTGCACAGTAAGCGTTGTTGAATTATAAGTGTATAAAACTAGTGATATCATTCTATCTTTTTGCCCTCTATAAGCTCAGATCATAAGTTGCTAAGAGCTCATTTGTACTTGAAAAAACTTGCACATAATAGAATAAACCTCAATTTAATAACTTTTTAAGCTAGTTCCTGTATAATAAAATTTTAATAAAAAGACATAATTGTTTGTAGTTTTGCCGAGAAAGCGAATGTGCTAAACAAATAAAAAAATGAAAAGAGTTTTGATTCTTGAAAAGAGTTCGAGTTGCCGGAAAAAAAAAAGAAATTATAGAATGGCGACATTCTATTCAATCGTAAGTCGGAAAATTGAGTAAAATAAACTTAATATATACTGTAACATCTGCAGGAAAATTCGATTTTCAAATAGATATAATTATATGCTTAGTGGAAAGGCGGATCTTTCCAGTGTCCACTCTTTTTGCGGAATGGGATAAACGAAACTCACTCAACTAAAATACCAAAAGTTCATAAAATTTGCGTAGATTTTAATCGTCAGATGTTTTAGGAGTTCCGATTCTACAGTCATCGGATAAAGAAACTTCGATTTAGTAAAAAAAACTGACAGACAAATAAACAGAGAACAAAACTGCAGTCCCTTTCCCCCCGGCAGCTTCTGCCATTTCGCCTTCCTCCCCACTATCTGAACGTGTGGAAAAGGCTTCACTACGCACTAGAACCTCTTCTTTCTCTGTAAAGGCACGGAAAAACGGGGAAAAAAAAAAACGTGCAACGTGTTTCGCAACACTGCTGCAAAACGAGTTGACAACCTGATTTGGTGCAAGACAAGTTTTATGTTGGTGGTAAAACGCGCAACATCGCTATACAACTCGTTTTGCTGCAATGTTGCAAGACAAGTTGCACGTTTTTTGTTGCCCATTTTTCCGAACCTTAAGTCCGTGGTGTCGATCAACAAAATCTCTTCTGTGTTCCATTTCCAATTTTTAGTTCCTTTTCCAGTTGTACACCAATAACATTTAGACGGTCATCAGATACTTCATTTTCGTTTGCAAAGATGCTCGAGTGTGTCGCCCAGTTGTAAGATAATAAAACATTTCTATCTTTGAATTAAAGGGGAATGGCGATTTGAGTGTTGACTCACTAAATAGAACTATTCAGACGCTAGAGTGCTAAAATATAGATATTTTTATAAAGTAAGATATTCATTAATGAATAGAATTTAGAATCCAAATCTCTCCTTCTTCTTAAAATGCAGGTATTACTGACCTCAGTTCTTCAGGGTTCATCCGCTTGATCTTTACAGGGTCAATGAGGACCGTTGTACCACACAAGCCTCTTAAAAATAAATGACAGTATTACTCGACTCTTCAAACAAGTAGTTGGAAACAAATTGTTAATCATCATCACATTTTCATCGTTGTCATAGAAAAGGATTACAATAATAAATAACGCAGAGGATGTAATATCTTTTCAATTAAATCCCAAGTTTCCGCTCGTTTAAAAGCTTTTAGAGCTTTTTAGGACTAAACGTAATTATAACTTAAAAGATATACTCGGCTTGAAAGAAAGTCGGTTCTGAACTTGATCTGCAGAAACACTAACTATTTTGAGAAGGGAGACCGTACGTAAGGGTGCTAATTCTTTATTCCAGATCAACCAGCCAGCTAAACAAGGAAAAATAGAGCGACATTTCTCGATCGAAACAAAAGTTCTAACCTGTCTAAAGCCGCGTTCCATCTGCATCAAGCCTACACAGCAGGTGTTATACGAGACAGTATTGCCGCCTCAATAACCCCATTGCGCAAGCTACATGTACTTTTCGAGCAAGTTGTTGATTATACCTCCCAGTCAGAAGGATCACCTTTTTCGGAAAATTTGCACCTATGTTATTATCTTATGTTTCAATCGAAATTTCCGGAGATTTTATGCATATCAAAAGGAACCGAATAAAAATTGACAGTTAATGCACATTTCTATTGTTTTGAAAAGGTTGTTATTTTTTTAACGGAAAGGCAGGTCATTATTAGAACAGAAGAGGTCGTTATTTTCTAGTTCAGTCACCTAGATAATGACTTGCTGGTCGCCCCCTCGGCGAACTTAAAAATAAAAAAGTACGTGACCTCTATGCTAAAAAGGCGTCAGAGTTCAGGCAAAATATACGCCCTCTAACCACTGTACCTTGATCATTTGTTCGCAGGGTGTGTTGTAGGGGTTCTATTATATTACACTGTGTGATTTTGGCTTTAGCAAGTTTTTTGTAGCAATTATTAGTATCAAACACAATCATCAAACGTTACACGGTTCCTTTTCTAGGATGTAACAATAATATATTCCAAAATATACTATAGAGACGAAAATGAGTGCAACTGTGTTTCCTGTTAATATTGGTCACCTGACATAGTGTGATTGTGTCGATTGTGAGCCGGTCTCACCGGAGTACAGTCTAACCTGCGTAGCAGGCGGGATTCTTGTGCCCGGAGTACTTTCTTGGCCCATCCACGCGAAGCGAGCGGCGAAGCCGGGAACCCAGCCTTCTCGCGGCTTCGCCGCCAAAAAAATACAGCACGCTAATCCCGCCGGCTACGCAGGCTGACAGTCAGTATTGAACTTTTCTATTTAGATGGTCCTTTACTAAGATTTTCGAGCCAAAGAGCATAGGCTAAGAGGCTTTTCTTTTGCATTTTTATCCGAATTCAATGCGATATCCTACTTTTACCTTTGAAACAAATCTCACCAGACGTGTATTTCGTAAAAGTAATTAGAAATATTATAATTGGTTTCCTTCGGTAAGCTGATGTTTATTTAGCACCAAATAGCAACAACAGCCTGAGAATTTATTTACCGTATTTATTCGATTAACCGCCCTGGGCGCTTATTAAATTTTTGGACCTTGAGAGTGGGCGCTTATTCGGAGGTGGGCGCTTATTCGAGTCTGGGCGCTTATTAAATTTTCACCATTTTCAACAAGTGAAGTAAGTTTATTTTGCAACAAAACAATAAATGCTAATAACAAAACGCAAAGAAGTAACAAAGCAAGGTTTCTGTAAAATACTCTGCAGAAAACTCCGTCCTCGGGGAAGTCTCTTATTAGAATTTATTCACTCAAGTGGGTGGGATGGGGGTGAGCGCTTATTTGAGTTTGATTGGAAGGAGGAGAGGGTGGGCGCTTATTCGAGGCTGGGCGCTAATTAACTTTTTCTGCCTTTAGGATGGGCGCTTATTCGAGGTGGGCGGTAATTCGAGGTTGGGCGCTTATTCGAATAAATACGGTATCAGTCATTTACAGTGAAAATCAGAAATGACACTTTTAAAAAGCATTACGCTGCTTGCGTCCTCGGTATTAAAATAAGCTCAATAAAATGAAACGATAGAGCAGAAAAGCAAAGGTAAAGTAATCACATTCGTCTTTGTAAAAAATAGCAGTTTCCCTTCAAGTGAAAAATACTTTTTAAATAGCAATAATAAAAAATCATCAATTGTGTCAATGATTGTTTTCAATGATTAAAAGTCATCCTTTTAGTACTAGCCTTGTATACATGTATGAATTTTATCTTGTTTAAATGTTATTATTAGAAGCTGGACTTCGTATGTTAGTACTGTCACAGTCCGTATTATTGGAGACATTTGGCCACTTAAGTTAAAAAAAAGTTTTATAAAAATTCATCCAAAGATGCGTTTCGTCTCGTCTGGGACGCCGCAGAGCTAAAAGCTCTCTTGATGCGTGAAAACTCATGGGAATCAAACACGGTTCTCGTCACATTCCCCCCATCTGAAGGATCCTCGAGTCTGATGTAAGGTCCTCGCCATATATTGTCATGCATATCAGTGCGTCGTGTGCAGCCAGTGCGAATGGACATGGTTCTATCCCAATTGAAGCTAGAGAAATATGGAAAAAAACCAACGAAGAGCTCTCCGAGACTTTGCGTGTTGTTTGATTTAAAAGAACGAATTTCTAGAGGAAAGTCAGCGGTAAGCTTGTGGATTACTGCGTTGTTTGGGATTTGAAAGACATGGGGAAAAATCTGTTGTAAGGCGGGGATGACGGGGGGCGAACATCCGGCTTGAAGGTAATGGATAACCAGGAGAACTACGGCAAAACCTGAAACGGTGAAACAAAGTTAATATAAAAAAGTAAATTATTAAGAATTCAGCTTGCTGTGTGATGAACATAGGAAAGGAAAATCTCAGTGAGTACCCAAGGGAAACCGAACTCATGACTCTCCAAAGACGATATTATGCAATTAAGATTTATTTACGATATTAGCACCATAATTCAAATAGCATCACAGGAAAGTAGCCTTTATTTGAATGGTCACAATTTACGATTTCATCAACAGACTTAAAAGTGAGAATCACCTTGTACAGCATAATAAACAGTACCACAGGAAAGAAAGTACTGAAGCTCCGATTAGCTTTTATTTGAATTGTTACAGTTTGGATTTGATCCACGGACTCAAACCTTAGAACGGCCAACCTCATAGGAAAGTAACTTTCATAAAATGTCCCTTTTTAGAATCATATTCGGTACAAGGTCAAAGTTAGAACTATCTACGACTGTTACAACTATCTTGTGCAGCATAATAAACAGGATTATTGGGAGATACTACTCAGAACTTTAATTTTCAATATTCATAGTATAAGATTTCACCCACAGTCTCCAAGGTAGAATATAATAACAATAATAATAATAATAATAATAATAATAATAATAATAATAATAATAATAATAATGATGATGACTTAAATACAGAATCCACAAAGTGGCTCTTCGCCTGTACATTAAAAGCTACCTAAACTAATATTCTAGAAATGTACAAATGCGCTAACAATTAAATTCTATGGAAATAGTTGAAATAATAATAATAATGGTAAAACCAATAAATAAATAAACTAAAAAAAATAAAAACAGAAATAAGATAAAAGCAGAAAAATAATAAATAGGACCATCTTGAAAAGTGCTGCTCAACAGGGCGGTCTTATTCATTAAGTACAACAGGGGCCAGTTGATTCCAACATAACGTTTTCTTATGTAACTGGTCCAGAACTAAACTTAAAGGCAAAGGTAGGTATGCTCTTATACTTTACGATACCTGCAAGTCGCTTTAATCTTGCGTCAGTGATTCCAGCTCTTTGAGCCCACAATTTTACAACCATGACAAGTGGTTTCACTCTTGGGTCACACGCTGAGTAACACCTTAAAAGGAAAGCATTTTTTACACTGCACCAGTTTTCCACGCTAATATCGGTTTCAAACGACTTCTCCCTGTCCTCGAGTTTCATGATGGGCACTCTTATCCTTGCGTGTGCAATAACCTACAATACAAATAAAATAAAATTGAAAGCTGTAGACCTTTTAATGACCAATGTTGATGTAGTCCAAATTATCATGTGCCCGCGAGATACCAGCAAAAATCGGGAGGCGCAACGCATGCGCGTTGAAAATAATCGTCAGAAATGTCATCTAGCTTCTTCATGTTAGTTTAAAAGGATGCCATGTATATCATTAAAGCAGGGAAATGTCTTGCTCAACTGACTTTTAATTATAAAAAATTTTTGCTGTTCTTTCCGTTGCTGTTCTTCTTTTCCTTTTCAAAAGCTTCTTCTATTTCAATTAGTGGTGAAATGAACATAAGTCAATTAAAATCAAGTTGGTACTCACTTAAACAAAACATCATTCATCAGAACAATATATTTCGTTATTCTCTTTACGGTTGTTAGAACTATAAGAAAACACCTGACGAACATATTTAAAACAAAGTTGACGCAGTCAAATTAGAAATACAATTGCGAACGCGACGCGACGCGACGGGTGCGGCTTCCAAATGTTCAAAATCATAACGGGAAAATGTGGACTTCGCTACGGCAATTCCCAAACATTTAATTGTGAGAGTGCGTACCTGTTTCCCACCATAGAACCTAAAGTAGCGTAGAGGTGTGTTTGAGAGGAATTAAATTATAAACAGTACAAATCTCGTGAGTATGTTACATATCGGCTACGCCTTTGCAAGAATTCAAGGATCCACAAATTAACCATGGAGGGAGGTTAAGTAAGAGTTAAGTTATGTACGGTAAATTACCTTTCTTTACCTTTATCATTATTTTTTCGTTGCACAACTAAGGCAAGTGCGGTCAAGAAAATAACTGAAACAAGTAATTTTGACGAAAACTAATCCAAGCTGGCAAGAAACAAAGGAGACAGCAATTAACAAGAAAAACTAAGGAGCTGAATTAAGGACTTTGCGGAGAACAAATCAAACTAGGAAGAAGTCACGGTTTGAGCAGGACCCACACGCGATTTCTAAAAACATCCCCTTACCAATTCTCTTTTCGAAATACGTACCTCTGTACGAAAACGGCGACGATTCCGAGTAAAAAGCGTCTCAATTCTTCTCAAAGCCGACGCTGGTGTCGTCGCTGAACCCTCAAGACACAGCACAAGATCTATGTCGCTTTTAACACTACCGAAGCCATTAGCGGACGACCCAGATAAAACCAGTCGACAGCCTGGATACATTTCTCTTATGATACCTTCAATTTCTGCGCGCCATTGATTTTTCTGTTCGTAGATTTCTGTTGTTTGTTGATTGTCCAAGAACTTTTGTTCTATCTGAGCTGAAAGCTGAGAATACTGGTCACGCTGGTTAAAAGTCGCCATGAAGACAATGCAGCATTATATTCCTAAAAAATGTATCTTACTGATATCATCCACCTTCTCTCTTAAAAACAGAGGTTGTTCAAACGCTATGTTCTAAGACGTCTTTCTGCAAATGAACTATAAAAGTTTCATTGCATGACCGAACAGGTTACCCATCAAAGCAAATATCTAACTAGTGATTGGTTAAAGATATGCATGGGGTTTGATATCCATTATTAATAGGTTTCCTAGAAAACCGGATTTTTCTCGGAAATTTAGCCAAGTGCTGAAAACATAGAATTCCGAGAAAAGAGAAACAAAGAGAAACTCAAGTATGAATGAACGTTTTAGTTGAATACAACGTAATCAGCTATTTGAATTAACGTTGTCGAATTTTAAAACTTGGTCACAATTTCGCGGTTGTTAGGTCGCATAGGTCACAAACCTCTTACTTTGCGATTTTATGACAAGAAATCTTTGTTTCATGGCAGAATTTGGTAATTATTTTGAACAAAATTATCCTTGTTGCGTAGTTCCAGAAAATATCCACACCTCGCCCACGGAGGGCAACGGAAATGTCCGACAGGAGGGGGTCCAAAACGAGGAAATTTCCTAAGGGGCGGGGGGTTGCTTTCCGAGGTTTTTTTCCAGGGGGTCCGAGTAAGATTGATGAGTTACTAATAAATAATAACTTCTCTGTTGAGCTAGCCACCAGTTATCTTACGCTTAACAGTTGTTTCAAAACAATTATTATTGTTTGCATTATTCATCTTATCTACGGTCGTTCTGAATGCTTTTTTCACGGCTTGCATGATATTTTTTTAATACAATTGTCATCATCTCATAAATAAATTTCCGACTATCTAGGCGTTACTTATGTTACACATTTGATTCACCGTAATTTGATCGTGTTCTAGTGTAACTGGTTCTTTTGCAGATGGCATTATTCGTGTAGTCACTAGTTTAAGGTATCGCCTCCATGCTTAATTATTAGCTAAGAAAGTCCTCGAAATTATTAGGCGAATAAAAAGATTTTTTCTTTCATTTTATCGCATAAAGAAAATATTATCTTTCGCGTACTAATATTAATAGTGCAACAGCGCAGTTTTGACTGAAATATTCTTTCCGAGAGTACCCAACCAAGTTCAAAAAATACGGAAATTCCAGGGGGGATGGGGGATCTAAAGCAAAAGTGTCCACTGTGGAAGGGGAAAGTATTGATATTTTCTGGAACTACACATTACCTTGCTGTCTCGTCGCGAACACTTTCCGCGATCCGACAATTTAAGTAAAAATCGTAAATTGAAAACGCTGTAGTAGATCTCAAACGAAGGAGTTGTTTATTTTACCCATAGTGTTATCGGGAAGGTTGAGTGGAAACGGAAAAAAGGTAAAACAGTGACGCTATCAAGGAGGATACAAGCAAAGGAGGAGACGTCTGCCCTTCAGAGAGGAAACTCTCATACAATGCCATCAATATCAACTTCTTTGTGATTTGTGTATGCCCAGAATTGCTAGAGAGCTCAATCTCTCGTCTGTCACCTCACCACTGTGAAACCTGTATTAAGAGGACACCGTATTAAGCGGACACCCTCTATTAAGCGGACAGTAGCCGAAGTCCCCAAATTTATTTCCCTTATTTACTTTAAATGAAACCTTTATTAAGCGGACACCTGTATTAAGCGGACGCGGACACCTAAAAAGTACCTGAAATGGTCATTTCGATTGTTGCCAACCTGTATTAAACGGACACTTGTAATTAAATTCCACCGCCCAACATACCAGACACCGGAAATGCGAAAGATTGCCTCGAATTGCCACGCACAAATTCGTTTTCGATTTTTACATTTTTAAACGTGACTTGACGAACTTATTTGATTAGTTTCCCAGTGCAGTGTTGTTTTCTGTTTCGTTTTGTTTGTATAGAGCTTGTTTCACTCATCTGACTTCTCCAAATTTGAGTGTTTTTTTCCAAATTTCAATTGTACCCACGGGCGTATGTGGCTGCGTACATGGACGCTACGCTCCTGACATTAAGTATTCAGGGGCACCCAACGACAATTTTCGGAAAACATCTGTTCGGAAGACGATTTGAGATCTAGAATTTTCGGAACATTTGTTGTAAAATTTCTTGCTTGCCTGCCTCTCCTAGGATTTTCGAACATCTAAAAAATGGTATAATTGCCTATTTTCAACGGATTTTTACCCTAAAAAGGTCACCTAGAATTTTCGGAAACCTTTTTTCTGGCTGGAATTTTCGAAAAGGTAAGTTTTGATCCCTATAGTTTTCGGATCACTAGACTTTAAGCTAGGAAATCCGAACAGATGAAAAATGTTTAGGGGATAAAAACATGCCTATATCTACCGTTTAAATACTAAAATACGTTTAACAATGCTGTAAGTCATGGTTTTGAACTATATTCTCTTTGGGTGCCCCTGAGTATTACATTGGAGAAGTGCGTAGTGGCCAAAGGAGCAAAGCTTTCGCGTTGACCACTACCACAGTGCAGTTACTCCACTTTACACACACGCCGGAGGCCCCTACTGCAGTTGTCTGCAGAACATGGTCCTACGTCCCCGTAGCCTGCGTAGCACGCGTTTCCAATCGAGTTATTGCGCGAAAGTTAGAGCGGAAGCAAAAAAAAGGTTTTTTGTTTTTTTGCTCTCGTCCCAGCTTTCTAGACGAACCTCGCGAGGAAACGCTTGCCACGCAGGCTAACGTCCCCGAAAAATGTTTACCTCACGCAAACTGAACTTAATCATGTTCAGCCGCGTGGAAACCATTAAGAGAGACGGGGTAGGGGTAGATCTGGAAAAATGTTCCACTTTCGCTTTTTTAGCATTATTACCAGGCAAGAGAGAATCTCATTCTCTCTTGGCAAGAGAGAATCATTCTTGTTCCAGGCTGTCCTATTGCATCCTTTTTGAAACACTGAACTAGACATTGCTATTGATCGGGTTGTGCCACGGTAGTTTTAACTTTTTGGCCACGAGGAAATTTCTTTCTCTTGCCTTACCGGTGGCGCGGCAATAGCAGTTGTATGACTGTGCCGAATCTGTTTTCCAGCCCACAATGGTGTTCCGCTTATAGTTTTGAAACAGCCCCTTTTTTTTAGAGAAAAGAACTGTAATGAAGATAATAGACAATTGTGGTTTGACTTCAAAATGACCTAGTCCTTTCACACTTTATCATGAGTACTGAGATGAAACGATGTTCAAATTCAAAGCCGCTCACTGTCATCTTCAAGACAGAAATAATCGAACAATATTTGTCAATCTTCATTCGATCGTCGCATTAAGGAGCTATCCAATAAAGCAACATTTGTTTCACAAAGATCCTTCCAGGATGGCTGGATAAAATTAGAAATTCAAATCATACGTATAAGTTTTAATATCTTTAGCTTTATTACTTGTGCTTTTCCATGTTACAAATTAAGCTGTCAGACGTTGTTTAAGCTAAATTACAGCTCATAGTTTGAATTTCATGTTATTTTAATTTCTTATCTCAGTATTTGGTTCTCGTGGCTTTATTTGGTGCAAGTTGTTCACCGTGGTCATACCAGCCAGCTGAAACAGTACGTCTTGACGTTTTAGCAGTGTTTCTGTAGGGTGTTGTAAAGCTGGTCATAGACGCTTCGTTTTCGCCAATTGATGCTGTCATCAATGTGGACAACATCTGGCGTTTTAAAATCTCCTCCCCAGCGAAGATCTGGATCTTTGCGGATCTTCTCAATAAAGCACTTCACATCTGGATTCTGATTCAATGAGTAACGGAGACATCCACTGTTGCACCACTTTCCATTTTTGTCCACTGCATTCATGTCAATTGCATGACCAACGAAGTGGTTGCTACGTCTCGCTGGTTTCACGATGGCTCCACTTACGTCTTGTCCGGATTTTCGGAAAGAACTGGTGACATAGACCTGCGAATTAAATAGTTTTATCAGACGTCACTCAGCCACTCGCTTGGCTAGTGGGAAAGTAAACTGGTTTAGTTCGCAGCTGTTATTTAAACAACGACAGGAAATCTACCGGCAATGCAATTATTATTCAACATTATATAGATAGTGAAATATTGTTTTCTGCCTCAAAGGAAAGCGTTGAATGCGAGAAGCATCTTAGCCTGCGTAGCAAGCGTTTCCGCGCGAGTTCGGGGAGAAAGTTGGGATGAGAGCAAAACAAGGGAGACATGAATGAACTCAATTGGTTCGACAGTTCGACGGACGGATTGGATGTTGAGGAAATCGAGCAACTGTCGATTCGAAGACCTGCCCGTAAGCTAAGGAATCTGCGCCATGGGCCAAGTTCACCCGAGTGACGTGTATATTTAGTTAATTATCTAACGCATTAAATTTCTTTTGTTGTTTCCTACTCATACACCTTGTCGGTAACTGTGCTCACGTTGTGGGTGCCTCCTCGTAAAATGTTCCACAACTGGTATAGGATTTGATGGAGCCGAGACCAGTTGAGGCACTGTACATGTACATGTACACATTTATGTTAGGCATCCTACTGACGAACAGTTACGGCGTTTAGATTTTCTATTTTTTAGACTTTCAGATATTTCGAGCAACAGCAATTTGCCGTCTGCCCTCTTTAAACAGTATGATGTTGCTTACGTGAATCATGCATGTATCATACCTTTACGACGCACGAGGAAGCAAAATCATTAATTTTCCGCATGAGTCCCACGAAGCCAGTGTGAACACGTGCACTGTTCATGAATTTGTTCCCTTTGTACCAGGTTAGGTCACAGCCTCCTGCAAACAGACAGAATAGTTGTTCGTTCTGTTGTATTTTCAGTCTATTACTGAGTGAAACCAAGTTAACGAGTTAAAGGAGAAAGCTATTTAAGCAATAGAAAACGTTTTCTCTACTGCTTATTTTTATAGCCTGATATAAAACCGGGAGGGTTACGGTGTTGGGAGAATTCGAGAAAGTTATGCCAACTCCAGACGAAGTCAGGGTCTGCACAACTGTGGAGATTTCTCTCAACCCCTCGGCTATGCAAACACAGAAAAAAGTTCCCTATTGCTTTTATCAATTAACTTTTCCCTAGAAAAAGGAGCAAAAACTCTTTGTTTATTACGCAAGAGAAATTCTTAATAGTGGCGTAATCAGTTCATATGACATGTTTGTACAAATTTGTTTATAGCTGAAAAAAGTAAGAAGTTGTCAGTAGAAATCAGGCTTGTATGTTTTTTTTTCTCAATTCATACTACGTGATGTTCTCCAGGGAAGTTGCCTTTTGTCGTTTCATTTTAAAATTATGCCTACACATGCACATGGATGCACGGGCATAAGATTGCATTTAAAAGAAACAGTTCTCTGGGGTACCATCACATGGGCTGAAATGAGAAAACAAAACATACAAGCAAAAAAGGTCTGTTCTGTTTTCGTCACTTCACAGCAGAGAAATCCAGTGCGAAAGAGAAACTGCAATAACAAACGGAAACCTTAACAAATACAGAAATAAGTGGACCACCCTGTGCATTTCTGATTAGTGTTGATTTGTAGTAATTTAGCAAACGCGCACTACGATTATTTTTCTATTTGTTCTGCTAGTTGTTGCTAATCTGTTGAACCTTCATATTTTGCTTTTTTTTTGCTTGTTTGTTTTTTTGTTTATTTTTTTACTGTTTCGCCTCCTTTTTATTTGCTGGCCTGTTATTGTAAATTTTATTGTAATGTAATGTCAAATATTGTTTAATAAATAAATTATTTAAAAAAAATTCACAGCAGAGAAAGGAAATTTGCTTGCGGACCACCTTGGAAACGCCGTTTCTAACTTTCTCAAAGTAATTTTCATAGTAAAGCAAGTTGTTTTATTATTTTCAGGTATAAATTTACCAATACCCAAAGTAATTTTCAGTCAGGTCTTTGAAAAAGCGAACAGCAACGCTTTTAAAAATGTCCTGTAAAACGCTAAAATGTCCTGTAAAACGGTTAACGGTTAATTGTTAACTACTACAATACAACTGGGAAGCGAACTCTCCTGGTTAATAGTAGAAACTTCACTTCTTTTTCATGAGGAAACACTTGTCTTCCACTTGTAAGGCTGAATAAAGCTTAGAAATATATTATCTCTTGAAATAATGACTTTATTTAGGATAACAAGCTTTAAGTTTTTGTATTGTAGTGTGGCTTTTGTAGTGATAGGGATAGGGAATACTGTAAATCACCTATACAAACCCATTTCTCGGTTAATCAGAGTGCGTGTACTATCTTTGTTATTTTACCAAAAATATAAAAATCTAGACTTCATCGGAATTGCTGCTATGACTGATTCGGGGATCACTGAGACGATCACAATGTCATACCTCCAGTCACACTCAGTTGAACACTAGCTACATTGTAGCTGTGTTTTCACGTATATAAATTCTTTAAACCTTTACAGGAGAAGAGTGTGTTAAAATTTTGAATTGCTATTCTTTGTAGAATGACTTTCCATGCATGTATGGTTTTTGTAAGTCTCGCAATTGTGTAAAGTGTGCATTGATCCCAAATTAAACTAATTATTAGATCATTGTTAGTATATCAAGTTTTAACAGCAAGCAAAGTTCTGTAGTCCTCCCCCAGAATGAAACTAAAACTTAATAGCTCTCGTGCATGTTGTAAGGGCAAATTTTCACCATAATCCTTTTGTTTATCTGCAAAGTTTGCAGCAATAAATTCTCAGTTCAGTTAGGATGGAGATATCATGATAGTGAGCTTTAGCAACGACGTTTTTGAGGGACAAACGTAAAGCGGAAGTAGACTTTTTTTCACTCCTCGGCCGTGATTTTGAACAAATTCTTGGGCAAATCGTCTCTATAAGAGTAAAGACACTTAGCAATACAAATTTGGTAGCGTCAAAGCATATTAGTGTAGGTAATAGCATGATCTGTAGTGATATTTGGCATAAAAAATTGTTATACGTAATTTCACGAGCCGAAATTTGGGACAATTTTAAAATATCAAGAGTGATATTTATGCTGAAATATCACGTACAAATCATGCTATTATTTGTTTATACTACTGCCCGCAAAAGGTTTGTAATTTTCACATGAAGGTATTTCAAATTAAGCTGAAATACCACTGCTCTAAGCCTATCAAATTGCAGAAATTTCTCATGCTATTAGTATAAAAAGAGAAAAAGGCTCACTTTCGGATGGCGTGCACCGCTCACTCTCCATTATAATATCTTCATCCTAACTGAGCTGAGAATTTATCGCTAGGAACTCACGAACAAGAAGAGACAATGCAAAGAGTTTAATAGACCATTTTACAGTTGTGGATTTAGTACCTAGCCTTCGAGTGAATGTGAGGCTGACGGTGACCTTGTTTTGATACAAACCTCCTTTGCTTTGCCATGGAAATTGTCCTTGAAAAATACTGGTTAGAATAAGAATAACTTTCTGTACATAATAAAAGAGGAAGGTTTGTATCAAAACAAGGTCACAGTCAGCCTCGCTTCCATCCATAACTGTAAAATGGCCTTTTTGCAAAAGAGGCTTGGTGAAGATAGACCTTTTCACGGTTTATGACGCCATCTTGGCTTGCTCCTGGCTGGGGCGGGGCAAACACGGCTACGATTACAGTGAATGTAACGGCGTTACAGCGGTTTCATGTGGGCCAAAATCCCATACATTCACTGTAATTTTAGCCGTGTTTGCCCCCCAGCCAAGATGGCGCCATAAACCGTGAAAAGGTCTATTTTTAGCTAGTCTAAATTGAACACGAATCAGAGCTATTACCATTATGAGACAGGAAAGAGTCAAATCGAATATAATTCTCACAATGGTCCGATTTCATACAATTTAATCGGCGACTTTGATTTTTAGTTCCTCGCAAATATTGTTGACACTTCGCTCATAGTATGTACAGGTGTATTTTCTAAGGAAAGGTTACATTAGAACAAGGCTCAAATAGCTGAGCAGAATACTTAGGGAACATACCGAGACAGGAGGGGACAAATGCCATCAGGAACACTACCACAAACGGTACGAGCACTTTCATGGTTTTATAAGACGGTTAAGTTAGTCCGATGTTCACTATAAAGAGAATAAAACAATGTCAATATCTTAGCTGGGTCACGCAAGATTTTTAAGTCAACCAAAGACTTAGTATTTATCTTACTCAAGTCAATCAAAGTTTTATAATAATATGGTAAATACCTGATATTGTAAGTATTTATAAAAATACTAAGATAGTACGCGCATTCCGATTGGTTAAAAACCTATGCTTTATTGTACCGGTAAACTAATAGAAAACTTAAAGTTATTTTATAAACGCAATAGACCACACTTTCACTCTCCTTCAGCTCGTGATTTACAAGCTTTTCTCGTGTTCTTCCAACATCCCGCGTGGTTTATCACGCCGGTAAACCCATAGAAAGTGGTGTGGTCTATTGCTTAATTGCAAGAGAATTTTAGCGATTGCAACAGAGGGATAAAAAATATCAGTATTAATAAAAATAAAGCAGAACGCTTTACGTTGTCTCAATGTTATATTTACTTTGCGTTTTCTAAGCTTCGACTAAAACTCGGCACACGAAGTACACGTCGATGAACTCTGCAACAAGCTCTCCAAGCGACTCGGCCTTTAAAGCTATACCAGCCCATACTTGAAGAAAAATCAGAGAATAATTTGCTTTAACGCAGTCATAAAACCACTCACGTATGTATGCAGTATGGACATCGTACAATAAAATGCTACTTGAGATAGTTAACCGAATGCAAAAACGGGCCGCACGTATCATTCTAAATGCCCTTCGCACTTGGCGAACAGTAACTTTGTTTAACAATTTAAGCTGGTTCCCCTTTTACAATGAAGCATACATAAATCGCTGTGCACTTGCTTTCAAAAGGATAAATGGAACACTGCTTCACTATCTAATCACATCGTTAACAAAAAGCTCCGATAACCACCCGAAAAACACAAGAAATTGTAATTTTAATCTACTGGCCCCCCTCCAAAGAAAAATTCTCAGAGAGGGCACGCACCTTCGCAGTGAAAACTGTTTCTGGAAGACTGGAATAACTTACCCAGATCCCTAGTAACAAAGAAGTCTTTGAAATCCTTCAAGACTGAACTATCGAAAGTACTATCAAATCCTTCAATTCTGCGTAATTCAGCTCTTACCTTCAAAATCCGAACGTGCTTGTAAAGCCTGGTTGCCATGTGATTGCTGCAATCAGTCAGATCGCTAAAAGGGGGCAGCGATCGCAGCAATGTATATAGCCTGTTTATCAGGCGCATGGAAAATTTAGGGTGCAAACAAGAACGGTGGCGCTGGCCTCGAGAGAGGCCTGGTGATGACGCACGAGAGTAGAAAATGTGCGTCCTTTCCCCTCAGGCGCATCTCGAGTTCAGGGCGGAACTTTTTTGCCCAGATCCCCTGGCCGGGTTTGAAAAAATGGCGGGATTTCAAATATTTTATTGCCTAAAAATAAAATGTTTCCACTCATAACCTGGAAAGAACAGGCAATTTTTCTTCAAAAGTTGCAAGCAGTGGTTATAACCTTGTCGTTACTTAATTTTCTCGAAGAACACCTCATAGTAAAACGGACTTTAACGACATTAATTTCCTTGCGTTGTACTGGAAATGTGCATGCGTAGGTCCGATTTTTTTCAAGATGCATTCACAAAATGTGTTCATATAAGGAGGTTTCTGGATATATAAGGTCCGGAGCTCCACTGTCGACACAAAAACAACATATCTTTCGACAGTGATTTGCCCCAAAAAATAAACGCTTGCCCACAATGTGTTTAAAGTCACTGAACTTTGTCGCACTCGAGCTGAAATTTTAAAACCCTAGCTCGATCGGACACTCGTAGTTTCGCAGATCACTAAAATATAAGCAAAATCCTCAATGTATAAGTTATTACGTTGATATGTGGGCAGAAAAAAGGTCAAAATCTTCCCAAAAATCGGTTTCAAAGCAACTATAGTTTTTAAACTTCCTCGTTTCGCGTAGATATATAAATTTTGCTTTGTGTTGTCAAGTTGAACACGCATAACATCTGTCAAAAACCTACGCGTAAATAGGATTTCCTTCAAACAAAGTTAAAGTTACATTATTTCAAAAACTTCTTGCTGACAATGAAGAAATGAATTTTCTGTGCGAAAACATCCTACGTAAAGTTCTTAAAAGCAAAAAATCAGTTGCAACTTGGCAGCCAAGTCATGATTCACCATTTAGCTATTTTCAATAAGCTTAACTGGTCCATGCGAGGGTCTTCGTTTAAGCAAAATAAACTCAGCCGATCATTACAAAATACAGAAAATTGCACATAAGGGTTTGTTTTGCTTATTGCCTCAGTCAAATCAAGCGGCAGCAATTGTTTACGGGAAAAGAGTCAATTGTTTTGAAGTCACTGCCGGCAGTTGTCGTTCTCTACCTCAGAGCGAGTGAAAAGGACAATTTGCGTACAGAAAGTTATTCTTTCACAGTGCACTGGAAAACAAAACTATGTAATGAAAAATGAAAAAAACTCTGACTACTTTTACTTGAGCAACAGAAAAATGATCTTGAGTAAGCTTGCTGGCCTTCTATCTCCGAGAAAGTTTAATAAGCGCACAAGTTTGTTCACTCTGATGCCTCTTAATATGGTTCTTTGACTGAAGACAAAGATAAAGCTGGTTCTGCAAAGGTAATAAATCTGGGCATGTAAAAAAAGTAACCATAACTACTAATAACAGAACACAAGCGGGTTTTAATTGAACCCGGCGAAATCTGACTCATAAATTAATCGGATGCACAATCAGAAAAATACTCGCCTCTTAAGAAATGTTCAAAACCTTTTATTCCACCTCAGACTGACGGAATGATCCGTTTTTCCTTTAACATTGATTGTTCTGAATCCAAAGTAACTTTTCAAGCGACGAAAAAAAAGCAAACATGTCAAATAAAAATGCTTTACAGGGAGCAAACGTTCATACCTCGTGCATTTCACTCAGAACTCCAGCAACAAACACAGAAAAGCCCGCCTTGAGCCTGCGATAAGGGATGCGCAGAAGCTTGCGCAGAACGTTTTCCCGCCGTGAACATCTCGAGCCCCATAGTTTCCTATGCGCGCGCATGCCACGTAGGCTATAATCCATATCGAAACAGCTCAATATCTATCTCGCCGAGATATAGATGCTGGAAACAAGCTTAAACAGAATGTGTGCCGCCGAGGCGGTCTTCTTCAGCTTAAAAATATAACTTAATTGCGTTTCACGTTACCTTTTAACTATGGGTTTCCATTAATTTGATTAAAACAGTACAAAGTTATTTTACACTTAACACAAGGGAAGATTGCTTCAAAGCTACTAGAATGTGATTCGTACTGGGCGTATCATGACGTCATGGGTCTTTGTAGTGGAAACCAATGTGTCAGTAGCTTCAACTGGGTGCACAGGCTGGACTCCCTGAACAAAAAACCTTTTTCATATAAAATGATCATCCTAATTAGCATTCTATTGCTTTAGTCTTTAGATTTGATTTTTACAGTTCAATTTTGCACACATCGATCAAGTAAAACTTTTACCGCAAGAATACCAAACACTTTGTTTCGATCAGTCAGCCCTCATCGCATGTTCACCACCAAGGTACCAAAATTAAGTTCTCAATTCACGTTTCCTTACTCGACGAGTTTCTTTTGTCAGGCGGACGATGTATTCACGCAACAAAGTATAAAGAATTTACTTAATTAAGATCATTAGAGTTTTGGCTTCAATTTTGATGTCTTTGGTGTAGAAGTACGAAAAGCTACAATAAGCATATATTATTCGTTCAAGCGCTTCAAGTAATTGGGGTAACTAAAAAGGCCTGCAAAAAAAAAAAAAACTTTAAAGGCTTTTGCAAAAAAAAAAAGTTTTTAGAAAGAGCAAGAAAGGTACCAAAAGTACGTTGTCAAGAGCGGAAAGAAAATGTCAAAATGGCCGTTTCCAAACTTTCGTCCATTTTGAAAAAGAAACTCAATCGCTTTTGGAACTTTTAACTAACCAAAGGCTTTATTTGGGAGAAATATGAAGAACTAAAAATTTCGCAAGTGGCGCCGAATTTTGGATATTTTCAAGAAAAGGCTCTTAAATTAATTTGTTCCTAACTTGGTGGTACAGTGCCTTAGGTAGTTCGAACCGAGGCAGAATTTAAACAAATGATATGGCCAGCATTTTAAATTAAAACATCAAAACAGTTTTCAGCTTTACAGAAGCAAGTTACCTTAGGATGCGGTGACCCTCTATAATAGTTGACACAATGCCTTGCACGTACAGAATGATGTCCCACCTAAAATGGTATCACGTTTCTTTAAGATTAGTTATGATCAGTGGTTCAATATGCTGATAAGAAGCTATAAAGTTCGTGCAATTGGAGTTAACGATTGGCTGTTTTGGGAGAGCCTCAAGTTTGTATCCGTAAGCCCGATATTCTCATGCAACGGTGTGCGAAAACGGTGTACGAAAACTGTTCAGCTACCTCAATCTTCTTCACTTGTAAATGCTGTTGTACTGTTTTGGTTAACTTATCTTTTTTTTTCCCTTACATACTGTCTACGACCCCAAACAAACGTTTCCAGTTGAGAGTCGTGAGTACAATCACGTAGTTTCGGCGCTTTGAAAGCACGCTGGAAAATTGATCGATGTTCCAAAATTTAGTTCAAGTTTCTGTCTCTCGACGAAATTTTGATTTTCAAGCCGCTGGTGAAATTTTCAGCCCCAAAAGTATAAAGGAAGTTTTGGCTTCAATTTCGATGTACAAGTGGGCTTTCTTTGGTGTAGAAGTGTGCGGTAAGCTAATATTAGCCTATTCGTTGAAGCGCTTCAATTGTGTTTCCTACAATAGCGAGAAGAAGAAAACTTTGAAGTGTTTTCTAAAATAATCTAGAAATAATCAAGTGTTTTGGTAAGAGCAAGAGAAGTACTAAACGTTGGCAGAAGCGGAGAGAAAATGCACCATGTTTCTTCTTTATTTTTAACGACAGTAGGAATGCAAAGTGGCAGTTTTCAAACTTTCCTCGATTTTGAAAAAATCAGTTCTAATCAGCGGTTTTGGAACTTTTAATTTATTGTTTTCTTTTTCAAAAATAACCAATTGAAAGCTTTATTTGGGAAGAAAATGAAGAACCGAAACTTTTGGAAGTGGCGCCGTATTTTCTATATTTTCAGAGTGGATGCTCTTTAATCAGTTCGGTTCCTCGCTTAGTATAATTCAACATTGTTTTCAATTTCTCTTGGGGCGATTGTTAGCCCCACTGAGAAATGTATTTGGGGGGACAACAAAGAGCATTATGGTATTTTTGAAAAAAGGCCTATTAATTAAAAGCAAATCAGTATTCATCCTCGGAGACCCAAGGGCAGATAGTGGGGGCGAGGGAAAGTCTAAACGGGCGGAAAAATATGGCTCGAAGAAAAGTAAAGAAAAGGCGAGAAGAGCCCCTGGGGACAATGTCTTACCAGACCAGTTCTCAACGGTCACCGCCGTTCTGGCTTCTGATTAGGGAACTTAAGATAGAGACGTGTTCGGGGCGACGGCAACTTCAACCGGACGTGACATCATCATTTGTTGGATATTGCGCATGCTCGTGCTCACCACCTTGCCGTCGTGGTCCCGTCGGCGACGTGAAACTGGTCTGTTTGGCGTTGTGGCGAAAACGTAAGTATTAACTTTCATTTCAATCAGGTTTGTTGCGTTTAGCAACCAACATTTTGCAGATTATCGTTCTTAAATTGTCCTTGTTTTGTTTGAGAGACATTTCAAGCTCGATTTCCAAGCTCTGTTATCTAAACTTACATCTTTGAATGTTTCTATGTTTTCATGTCACAGGGTCAAGATCCAACTTGGCAAACAGCCAACCGTAAGTGAGCTTGACATGGACAAAATTTTCCTACGAGCCAAATGAAAGTATCCAGACAAAAAATATGAACTCCGATATTTCAATTGTGTGTTTTTAGTTCGCTCTTTTCGTTAGAATATATATCGTATAAATAAAACGCATTGAAAATTATATAGAATAGTAGCTAATACCATGTACTAACTCGGCGTGGGAATACTGAAATAAAGTTGTTGCAGTTGTTGTTGTTGTTGCATGCAAGCATTTCCCGGGAATTATTTTAATACCAAACTAAGAATACGGTTCCTTGGTAGCATTTTAATGTTCCTGTAATTTGCAAGGCTTCGGCAAGCCTGTGGAGA